TTGCTGTACAACAGATAATATTACTTACTGTCATCACCAAGGTCTGGTGGCTACACTGAAGGAAGTCAGTTGCTGTACAACAGATAATATTACTTACTGTCATCACCAAGGTCTGGTGGCTACACTGAAGGGAGTCAGTTGTTGTACATTGGCTAATATTACTTACTATCATCACCAAGGTCTGGTGGCTACACTGAAGGAAGTCAGTTGTTGTACATCAGCTAATATTACTTACTGTCATCACCAAGGTCTGGTGGCTACACTGAAGGAAGTCAGTTGTTGTACAACAGCTAATATTACTTACTATCATCTCCAACGTCTGGTGGCTACACTGAAGGAGATCAGTTGTTGTACAACATTTAATATTACTTACTATCATCACCAAGGTCTGGTGGCTACACTGAAGGAAGTCAGTTGTTGTACAACAGATAATATTACTTACTGTCATCACCAAGGTCTGGTGGCTACACTGAAGGAAGTCAGTTGTTGGTGATGTAACCAGACCTTGGTGATGATAGTAAGTAATATTAGCAGCAACTGACTTCCTTCAGTGTAACCACCAGACCTTGGTGATGATAGTAAGTAATATTAGCTGTTGTACACAACTGACTTCCTTCAGTGAAGCCATAAATCGTACTAGTAAACTGTACATAAATAACAAGCATTTACCATTGATGTAAGAACTTTTTAATTAAATTTTAATCAAAGTTCACTTTGATGTTGGATGAAAAAATGTTTAGACTGCTACTTAGTAAGTAATAACATAGGCTTAATGCAAGATCTTGTTTCTTTATTGGTTTTAGGAGGAGCAGCATTGTATCCATTGGCATTAAACAGTATACTTATCAATGAACCAAGCTAAGTAGATCACACACAAAGTTTCCTTTTTTTCAAGCCCATTGTTGGAAGGAACTGTAACCTAGTGATTGCTTTGTGAATTTCTGGTCAGAGGATGGACAGCAGGAAAACCACACAAATCTGTGATTTATAAAACCGTCACTGAAAGATTCAGTCTGTTTCATCCATCCATATCACATTTCATCAGTTAGTTGAGAATGTAAATAAAATGTTTGTAACTTTCTACAAAAGAGATTTCTCACGGCATTAGTTTGTATCTATTGTTTTGCTCCTTTTGTTTAAAGTAAATAAAGTTCAATTTATTTCATCAAATAGGGTAGTCACACAAAGTTTTTGTTTTGATTATAACCATCGTGTGTGTGTGTGTGTGTTTTAAGTTGTAACTGATAACTAATTAACTAAAATTATTTGTAACATAAACAGGTAACCAAGATAGTAGAATAACAAATATAATATGGCATATAAAAAAAAGCATTAATTTCAATTTGGCACGAGCGAGTAACCGTAACGAGTTTTATAAATGGACACTTACCCAAGATAAATTTGACAGAAACTATAGATGAATAGAACAGTGATAGAAGAATAAAATTAATGGGTATGTGTCAAATAGTAACTGGCTTGAAAACTGACAAGTAAATGTAGTACGGCAATAAAAAAAATATGAGGAAATTGGTAAGTAAATGGAAAAATAATCCAGAGAAATTTTGTACACGAAAAGAGTGAAACCTCACTAATATGTAGATGGCTGTTGTACAACTGATTTCCTTCAATGAAGCCACCAGACCTTGGTGATGATAGTAAGTAATATTAGCTGTTGTACAACTGATTTCCTTCAATGAAGCCACCAGACCTTGGTGATGATAGTAAGTAATATTAGCTGTTGTACAACTGACTTCCTTCAGTGTAGCCACCAGACCTTGGTGATGATAGTAAGTAATATTACTGTTGTACCGAGAACAACTTAACTGAGGAACAGTATATGACCATTAACTTCTAAAATATATCTCAAAATGATTGTGGATAAGAACTGAAAACTCTTAATTTTTATTCTGAAAGTCAAACCAGTTTCTTTTAAAACTGTCATGCTTTTCATTCACTGATTTGACTTATTCCTTTTTTCATAATTTGGCTTTTTTATATGTATATTTTTATTGTCAGGTTTTGTTTGTGGTGATTTCTTCTCATGAAACGATCTACATGGGATTGACAATTGGTTGCCTATTCACTCATATTTGAAAGTCTCAAACATAAATCCAGTTAATGAATTTTTCTAACACCCATCAACACTATATCAGTAACTTTCTAAGGACCACTTTCAATATCCAGATATGATGAAGTGTCACGTATGCTGGAACTTTAATTGTAGAGCATTTTCTTGATCAAAACAAACGTTACGTAGTAATCGGTTAGTAAACCTAATTTATCTGGAGATTTTGACTGTTTGCAGCTTCATAGTAACCAGTTAGTAAACCTAATTTATCTGGAAATTTTAACTGTTTGCAGCTTCTTCTAATAAGCACTGCTGCTGTGCAAAAGAATCACTTCCAAAAAACATTAAGAACATATTTAAGGTATCCCTTACTCCAAAAGTTCCACCATCTATCTCAAACTCTCCTTATCAAGACATACTCTAGAATTCTATTGTCTGAATCAGAAGTAACACTTTTCAAAGTTAAGATTCCAATGAATCTAGAACCTCCACCATCTGTTTCGAACTGCTCTGAAATACTGTTGTAAGAATCGTAAATGGCTTATTACCTACAGAGACTGTGAAACATTGTTTGATACAAGTGACAACTATTTTGATAAATTCTCTGTATACAACAAGTTTCTACATGTAATGACTCACAGTTTCCAGTTTCTGTAACAAGTTTTTCCTTTAGATGTGACATGACACAAACTTATAAAAAAACAACAATATCATACCTAATTTTTGTCTGATTCCTGCAACTGGTTTTGTCTTTATCCAAAGAAGATAACTACTATTTACAAGAATTATATGTTCTCACAATCACAATAACAAACTTATTATGACAATGGCAAGTGTTACTGTAGTATTATCTTACTACCACTAAACAAAAAGCCAGAACGATCTCATATACTGAAACTTTATACAAATCCTTTTTTTTTGCTTTTATCTTTACATCATGAAAGAATGAGATTGTTTTTTCTCGGGAGAAGAAATAGCATGCATTTTCAACTTCACAGTCTTGGCAGCTAAACTGTCATTTAGCTTGAAGTTAAAGATAACTAAAAATACCTTTTAACCCTAGAAGAATGAGATTGGTCAACACGACAAACCTTGGAATTATACATGCTATAATCCCAAATTTATTACGTGATTTTCACAAGATTTGGCAAGTTCTTAGTAAAGATTATATGTCAGTTGTACATAAAAAAAACTTGATTCTTTTAATAGTGTGTTTCTAATAAAGATACATCTGTTAATTTCTGACACCTTTACAGAGTGACTCCAAGTGAAAAATGATATTCATGTTAAGAATAAAAATACTTTAACACATTGCACTCTTCATATTTCATTTGCTTAACTCCTAGAAAACTTCCTAAATCAGTAATAACTTTATTCTCTACCATAACGCTAACTGTAGAGAAATCATCAGTGTGCAGTGAAATAAACAGTTGAAAAATATAAAATGAATAATGCCATCTTTTTATACTCTCAGTACATAAACTGGGTTATACTTTTGTTGCTAAGCAACATGACATAAAAGCCATTGTTGGAACGCATTGTTACCAAAATGCACTGGCTTTTATATATATTAGAAGTTGTTAATCTAACTGATATACCACATGATACATTATGGGGTGGTAATACTTGCCTCATCATTTTTGACTAGCTATACATCTATAATAAAACATCATGTCTGTCTGTGATTTCTATTTGTTATATAAGGAGCTACTTCTTTTCTATATGGTTTTTCACTAGCTTGTTTCATTAAAAAAATGTACATGCGCATGCATGTGGATAAGTAATAATACCCATGTGCACACCCTCAGGGTCCACTTAGTATGTGTGCAAAATTTTAGGTTTCTAGGTTCTTTCCTCTTGGAGTTATGGTAGTCAAATACCCAAAGACACGCCCTTTATTATTATAGATATAAGATAAGTGAAGTTTAAAGACTTCAGGTTTGTTTATCAACAAACTTTCAAAAGCCTCCACTAATAATTTATCTTAACTTATTGAAAAAAAAAAAGACTGATTAAGGTAATAATTTCTCTTCCATTTAAATAAACTGTTCATTAGACAGAATAACAAGGAACTTGATGGAACTGAACAATGATAAACTTTAATGAGACTTTCAAAGGGCTTCTGTTTTACCATAAAAACATGTACTTTGAAGAAAATCCATTATAAATTCATTTCATTTTCTGAAAGAGGTTTCAAAAAGTATACACGTTCTGAACTGTGCAGAAAATTCTTGAAAGACTTGACAAAGTTTCTACACTATCTGATTTGTTCTCAAGCTGATCAAGTTGAAGATGGTGCTCAATACACAATGAAATACCAGTTACTATGGTCAGAATCATATTATCATTTTTGCACTTAGAATAAGGCTTATCTTAGAGTCTTCAACACATACAGGTTATTCTAGAACCTTTAACACGTATATACAGCAGCAATAGGTTCAAAGGGAGATAAACTACTAGCCTGTATTACCTTATACCAAACTGTTTAATAGGGAGTTTGCTTGGACTCGAGTACAGTATTGCTAGATTTGTTTTGAACTGTTCACCCAAACCAATTCAAACAGAAAATGTCAATATTTGTATATCAAGCATTATTACATAATGTGTGACCACTGAAATTAGCAGAATCTAAGCTAAACACTACAAAGTGGCTACACATAAAACACCTGTTAAAACACATGTACTACACACATGCATATGACCTGACAAACAAATAAAGTGTTAGAAATGTATTGTCTACACTGCATCAAAAAACATCGTAAAGATTTCCTTCCTTATAAACTGTTTGGAAAAAAGCATTCATAATACTTACTTAGGATGTCACTGTCTCCTGTGCGCTTTTTGCTTTGATCTCCTCTGTAAAATAAATCAGTAAGTTTGTTACAAAACTTCAGCAGTATGTCTGAATAAACACTTCAAGAAATATTTATCTATTTGAGTTGTATTATCAATCTGTTTGATCTTGAACCTGTCAGAAAGTTTGTTACAAAACTTCAGCTGTATGTGTGAATAAACACTTCAAGAAATATTTATCTATTTAATCAATCTGTTTCATCTTGAACCTGGTTCTACAAAGACTTCCTTCAGTAAACTTTCATTATTTGTAAACATTGTTAAAATCTATAAAAAAACCTCCAGTAAACAGAAATATGCATATAGTTAAACTGAAAATAAATTAGAAACTAATACTATATATACATTACTTATTTTATATTATTTTTCAACATAAGGTAATAAATTAGAAAGTTTATATGTGATTTATAATTTCAGTGTTTACACTAAAGTTTACATTCACTAAACATTACTGAAACATTTATTAAGACACTGCTTTAAGGTTAAGTATCCAAATAAATAAAAAAAATTTAAACCTGGAGAATCCACTTTCAATCAGATTTTGTTGAAACATTCGTGTTTCCTCCACAGCAAGGGGAAGCTCTGAGACTGACATTGGAGGAAGTACATTTGGAATGTATTTAGCAAAGATGTAGGGAGCTAAAGAAACATATTCTGTAAGAGCAAACATAAAATCAAAAAACCTTACAATACAGTGATATCCCCCCGTTTAAGTGACACCAAATACATACGACAAACCAAACAACAATAAATGATAGCTACCATAACATGTATCTAGTGGAGGTGGTGTTTAGTTATAAGAAAAACCAAATGGTTCAAATCTGGGTCAAACAAACATACCATAGATTACTGAAATCATTTAGCAAAATTAATTCTAATCTCAACAAGCTTTTCCTGATGAATCATTGCAGAACATGGATAACAAGTTCCATCATTACATCTTCTATTATCTACTGTTTAAACCCATTTATTTTCTGATTTTTATGTATGCTATCTTTTATAGACAAGGGTAAACATGTTTGGTGGGGAGGGGATTGAAACTC